TACCACCACACCCTGTCGCTACGGTCATTACCTCGCTCGTTTGTCTAGGTGGAGGAGAGAGGCTCATCGTTTGGCTAAGTTAAGGGTGGTTTAGGTTAGGTTAGGTGCAAGTTTGGGTTGGCACAGGTGAATGAGGTGGTGAGTAACCTATTGAAGGGAGAGCTACTACCAGTGTCATAGATCACTTGAGTAGATCAATACAACCTTGACTATCGGCCTGGTGAAGTGGACGTTCATGCAACACAACGCGCGTAGGTGGTGCGTAATTCACTCCATCCAGCGTAATGTGCGTAGGAGGCAAGTACTGAGACGCGTAACTCACTTCAGGGAGGAGACAAGTACCGAGGCGGATCGATAATTTGCATCTTTTCTCTGACTTTCAAGACACCAATGACACATCTGACTGTATATACGCCAATGATACACCTGGCTCTATATCGGTGACGTATCTGTGACGTGTCAAACAAAACCGCATATTTCCTGCACTGTACATGTATCTTCCTATGTAGGTTCACACACACACACACACCCACGCACACACACACACACACACACACACACACACACACACACACACACACACACACACTAAAACGTACATTCGCCTAACATTAATCTGTGATCTACAGGAGGTTTCTTCTCTACATATACCAATCAAGTGTAAACAATGAGGCCAAACAACTAGAGGAAGAACTTCAATGGGAGGAAAAATATTGGGTGACCAGTGAGCCGAAGATAGACTGATCATTGATTACTGTGGAGAGAGAGATGTGACCAGCCCCCCCCCACACACACACAAGGGTTGACGTAATCCCAGACAAAAACTATTTCCCGTTATCTGTTGCAGGAGATCTTGGAAGAGGTATGAGAGCTGCGTTATCAGTTATTAAATCACCCCGTAGACCCCGGCAAGACGTAACAACACCCACCACCCTTCACCAAGCTAACTCACCCAAAACACCAGACTCATACAGTAACGCTAACCAATTTTATTATTCAACATGTTTTTTTTTTCAGGAGACGGACCCAAATTGCGGTTCATATTACAGTAATTTATTAAAAATAGATCATTTAAAAACACATCCAATATTATTTTACGTTTTTTGTTTAATGTATTGGGGCAAAGGATTATTTAATACAAGGTTAAAAGAATTATATTATATGATATTGTAATTACTGAAAACACGCCGCTTAAAAACACACCAAATTTGCACTCGAATAATGGTAATATCTGCACGTGTGTGTGTGTGTGTGTGTGTGTGTGTGTGTGTGTGTGTGTGTGTGTGAGCTCATCGAATCGACACACGTCCCTATCCACCCCACCCCCCCCTCACGACACTAACAATGCAGATATTCTAAGACACAAAAGGCTTTTTTTATATGATACCATTGTGTGTACAGTAAGTTGTCACCATTACGGAGCTGATCGACGAACCTGGGACGCTGAGGTGAGAGCTAAGTGAGTTACCACCAACACCCTTCACCACCTTACCCCCTCCCCGACTTAACGTGTAGTGCACCTTTACACACTCTCCACCACCGTACAGGCAGGAACAGTCCCGTTGATCAGGGCAGTTGAGCTCCACCCTAACAACTGTATCCCAGGCAACCACAACAAACTAGTTCACTTCAGGTACAATACACGGAAGAGGACCAAAATGGCGTCATATTTACTTCAGGACTATACCTTAACTAGTAGTCTTATCTCCACCCTCTAGTTACGACGAAGGAAGCATATCCAGTCTCAATGCCATGTAGACGCCATTTTGATTAACATTTTCAAGTACAGGTAATACGTTTTGGGGCGTTGAGTTATGGCGGGGGAGGAGGTGGCCCGGGGGAGGGGAGGAGTTGACCCGGGGGAGGGGAGGAGTTGGCCCGGGAGGGAGGAGTTGGCCTGGGAGGGGAGGAGGTGGCCTGGGGGAGGGGGAGGAGGTGGCCTGGGGAGGAGGAGGTGGCCGGGGAGGTGGCTGGGCTGGGGGAGGTGGGCTGGGGGGAGGTGGCTGGGGGGGAGGTGGCTGGGGGAGGTGGCTGGGGGAGGTGGCTGGGGGAGGGGCCTGGGAGGTGGTCTGGGGAGGGGGAGGTGGCTGGGGAGGGTAGGAGGTGGTGGCTGGGGAGGAGGTGGTGGGAGGTGGTGGCGGGGGGGAGGTGGTGGCGGGGGGTGGTGGCATGGGAGGGGGGGAATAGGTGGTGGCTGGGGAGGAGGTGGCTGAGGGGAGGAGGTGGGCTGGGGGGCGGGAGGGAGAGGTGGCCAGGGGGGAGGAGGTGGCCGGGGGAGGAGGTGGCGGGGAGGAGGTGGCTGGGGCAGGGGGGGCCAGGTAAGGGTGGAGCAGACGACCTTACGAGCCCCTGAGCCTCGACCTGCCGGGATAAAGTTGGACCTGCAAGATGCCTCCATTTACACTCAGGTCATGTGACGTCTAACTGGCCTCCACCAACCTGGGAAGAGGAGGCGAACCCGGGGAAGAGGAACCGAACCCGGGAAAGATGAGGTGAACCCGGGGAAGAGGAGGTGAACCCGGGCAAGAGGACAACCAAACCAACCTACAGAGACCATAAAGTTACGATCACCTCTGAACGTGACCAAGACCCGAAGGCTAACACCCCCCCACACACACACACCCTCTCCTACCGAGTCACGTGTCCTTCTAACTGGCTTATTTAAACAACAACACAAAGACGATAAACACTATGGCGTCGAAATTCTACCCAGACTCTGTTACGTCCAGTCAAGAGTAAAAAAAAAACCCGCTTTTGAGTTCAAGTTCTCATATCAAAGGTTCGTTCGTTAAGTATCCCTGGTACCTGGTTGTATAAGAACGCGCGTAATTGGCCCAACTTTACTACATCACAAAAACAAAATATATTCATAAGGCGATCAGAACTGAACTGAGACTCTACCCTTTAACGAGATCCCTTCACTCACTGACGGTTATGGGCGATAATTAACGAAGACTCTTTAGTATGGTTATGTATGTTAATTTTGTACAGTAACTGGGTCATTTATCTAATTAAGATAAGTCTCTACGTGATTTTAATACCATTTTGGACATTATTTATAAGGCTAAGCTTAAGACAACCAGTTACTGTACCTACATTCTTGCGTCTTCAGTTTCAGGACTTTTTCATCTTGGAAACATTTGAGAATCTGGTCCGTGGAGTTACGTTATCCAGGATGAGGAGCCAAGTAATGGATCTCTCAAGGGGTGGGCGTCCACCATTCTGGGAGGAAAATTCCCACTCCTACACAAGGATGATTATAAGTGAATCATCCTGAGAACGTAAATGGCGCGAGAAATAATAAACATCTTTTATCTCCGACAATTATCCAGTTTCTCCGTCAAGATGAAGAAGATTTTTCCGATGACCTGATAAAAAAAAAGAAATCACTTGGGTCCTTCACCTCTGAGCCATGTGACCCACCAACAGTTACTATGATGACTGAGGGTTGCTTCCCTTCTTGTTATGTTCACGAGATGTTTGGTTACGCGAGACAGTCACACAGTTGGCAGTGACTCATCCCGACCTTCTGTGTATGATCATGGGGGGGAGGGGGAGTGTGATGTAAGATAGGGTGAATTTAGCCTCACGTCTCGTTATTCACATCAGATGCAACTGAGGGGACTATGTATTGAGGGGACTATGTATTGAGGGGACTATGTAGTGAGGGGACTATATATTGAGGGGATTACGAGTATACTGTAGGCTGAAGGGATTATGTGTTGAGGGGACTGTGTTGAAGGGACTGTGTTGAGGGGACTGTGTTGAGGGGACTATATGCTGAGAGGACTAAATGCTGAGGGGACTAAATGCTGAGGGGACTATCACCTGAGGAGTAAACGCTTCTTAGAACAGCTTATTATAACACCATGTCACTTGCCATCTGTATACAGTAGCTTAGAAAAGACAGTTATAGGCGTCCATAGGTGTCAGTTTAAAAGAAAAAAATTGACATAGGAACAATAATGAATCCATCTTTGTGTCGTAAGTTTAGTAAATTATTAATACTCATTTTGTTCGCATTTCCTATTCCGTTGAAATATAACGAAGGAATATTGAACTTACGAACCTTTCAATATCTCTCGTTGTCTTTATAACTTACGTGAGTCCATCAATTATTTCCTCAGATATTAACTTCGTGAAAAACAAAAAACTTACGAAACCTTCAAGAATCTAATTTTTTGTCGTAACTCAAGATATTTTTTCTGACATAACATAAGGGGGGAAAAATAACCTGACAGCCCCTGAGGATCCATCTACAGTATACCTGTGATTGGTGACCTGAGCTAACGACGGTGTTCTCACATTGCCAATCAGAGAGAGAGAGAGAGAGAGAGAGAGAGAGAGAGAGAGAGAGAGAGAGAGAGAGAGAGACAGAGACAGAGAGAGAGAGAGAGAGAGAGAGAGAGAGAGAGAGAGAGAGAGAGAGAGATTGACGTGTGTAAGTGTGACCCCTAACGAAGCCACCTGTGTGTTGCACCTCAGGAGAAGAACCAGTGGGATCTGTTCTCGTGTTTCCAATTAGAGATGACACATAATGGAGGAGGAGGAACAGCAAGAGGGCCTTTAGTGGAAGCGCCATTATGTCACAGCTTGAGGGAGCCACTTATAAGACCTGTCCTCGGGGGTAAACATTTAGCGTTGTGAACCATTAAGAACCAGCTAGTGTGAGTAACTAGAACTATTAAGAACCAACTAGTGTGAATAACTAGAACTATTAAGAATCAACTACTGTGAATACGATGAAGGCGGTGAGAAGCAACTTACTAACAAGTCCAATTAGGAGAGAAAAAATCGTACCTTGGGAAATCCTTTTAGAAAGTGTAAATGTCAGGAGTAAAACTAGTTAGAGGAGTCTTCATATGAGAGAGAGAGAGAGAGAGAGAGAGAGAGAGAGAGAGAGAGAGAGAGAGAGAGAGAGAAAGCAATAAAAATAAAGCAAAAAGAGAGAAAGATAAAAGAGAAAGCAAGGAGAGAGAGAGAGAGAGACTGGTACTCACCCTAAAGCCCTTATACCACTCCTTGATCATCTGTTCGTCGTATCTCGTGTGTGTCTTGAGGAACTCCAGGTCCTCCTTAGACAGCTTCTCCTTACTCCCGAAACACCCCATCCTGTCAACACAACAAAACAAGTAATTAGTAGTGTTTCTCACCTGTTAACACAATAAACAATAACAAGTTAGTAGTGTTTCTCACCTGTCAACATAACAAACAGGTAATTAGTAGTGTTTCTCACCTCCACCTGTCAACACAACAAACAATAACAAGAAGAAGTTTGTAGTGTTTCTCACCTGTCAACACAATAACAAGTTAGTAGTGTTTCTCACCTCCACCTGTCAGCACAACAAACAATAACAAGTTAGTAGTGTTTCTCACCTACTGTACGGTAAATATGTCAACAAAGGAACAAACTAACATCATCTTTTGGCTACATCTGTCAACACTTCTCTGTTCAAACCTTTCCACCATTCATTATGCCAAAACACACACACGCACACACACTGTATGTACGTATGCCTGTATGTATGTATGAATTATTACCCCTACAGCCCATACCACCATACAGTAAACTCTACAGACACGACCACAGAAACATATTAACTAACTTGTAACACCACCAGGATATACATGCAGCCTCACCTCTGATCTTCCCTGACCTACTTCTCACACACACACACACACACACACACACACACAGTAAAAGGACAAACTATCACGATGCCTTTAGCTTTATCCTCCATCCTCTCTCATTAAAACACAGAGGACAGGCAGGTTATCCCAATCGAGGTGACGAGTGTGTAGGAGTAGCTATGTCGACACTACCTATGAGACACTAGGTTCAGTTGTCGACACTACCTATAACATGAGACACTAGGTTCAGTTGTCGACACTACCTATAATATTAGACACTAGGTTCAGTTGTCGACACTACCTATAACATGAGACACTAGGTTCAGTTGTCGACACTACCTATAACATGAGACACTAGGTTCAGTTGTCGACACTACCTATAATATTAGACACTAGGTTCAGTTGTGGACACTACCTATAACATGAGACACTAGGTTCAGTTGTCGACACTACCTATAATATTAGACACTAGGTTCAGTTGTGGACACTACCTATAACATGAGACACTAGGTTCAGTTGTCGACACTACCTATATTAGACACTAGGTTCAGTTGTCGACACTACCTATAACATGAGACACTAGGTTCAGTTGTCGACACTACCTAGAATATTAGATACTAGGTTCAGTTGTGGACACTACCTATAATATGAGACACTAGGTTCAGTTGTCGACACTACCTATAACATGAGACACTAGGTTCAGTTGTCGACACTATTGATAATTTTAGATATTATCAAAGTATATAATTAAATATCATTCATGTGAAATTTATACTTTGAAAATTATGAACATTACAGAGTACAAAACTGAAATGGTGAAGTCGACTACCCATAAAACCACACTACACGGGAATAAATTATCATCATCATTATTATCATTGTTATTATCATTATTATTATTATTACTTTTTTCATTATTATTATTATTATTATTATTATTATTATTATTATTATCTCTGCAGTAAGAACCCTGATTAATTTCTCGTCACATCAAAGTAAATGTTTTCCCTTTTCAGTATTAAGTATAATGAGGTCATTTATATGCAGACGAGAAGTGTTGCTGGTGTATGAAGAGAGCTTGTGTATAGTGATGATGATGATGATGATGATGATGATGAGAAAACAACAACAAACAATCATCACCACAATCCACGAACTCATACATAATTCACCACAACTTCAGAGAATCACCATTGTCTATCATATTCCAAATTGCTTCACATCACATCCCAGACCACCACCACCATCCACCGAGCGATACTTACTGAGAATGTTAACACGACGAACATTTTTAGAACATCTCGCTATAATGATGGAAAAAAAAAAGATCGGGTTTGTGTTCACGAGAGGGGGAAAAAATTAGGTAGAATGGTATTTTTTTTTTAAGTAGATAGTTGGGGATTTTTTTTTTGTAGGCAGGAAGGGAAAAAAAAACCTTGTAAATGGGAGGGATTTTGTATTATTTTATTGGTTCGTAGGGAATTATTATTTTTTGGTAGGTATGTAGATAATTTAACCACACCATTGTAGCAACCACACCATTGTATCAACCACACTACTGTACCAACCACACCACACCACTCCACCAACCACACCACTGTACCAACCACACCACTCCACCAACCACACCACTGTATTAACCACATCACTGTACCAACCACACCACTGTATCAACCACACCACTCCACCAACCACACCACTCCACCAACCACACTACTCCACCAACACACAAATTCCAAACACCAATAACTGTCCGTGTTCTTGTGTTCATCAATCACCGTTATTGTCCGTATCAAGTTTTTATCAGTGTTTATTATGACTTCAGTTCGGAAACAACATAACGAGAGCCACTAACACAGGTAGAACCACCATCACTTACACGTAAAGGCTCACTCTCAGTAACCTGTTAACAGTCCACCACAACACACACTACTGACCCTTACTGGGGGTCGTGAAGGAGAGGTAGGTGTGTGTGTGTGTGTGGTGAGGGAGTGGCCACCACGTCACCAGAATAAGTGAGAAGGAAGAGTGAGGTAGTGCTCCGGGAACTTCCGCTTGTCTCACCTGCTGCCACCACCACGTTACTGACCTTCACCACGACGCTGCTTCTTCTTCTTCTTCCCTGTTACGAGTTCTTGCGTCATGACAACTTCCTCCTCTCACCTAGACAACACAACACCTTGGACTAACTACACCCTGTTAACACTAAACACAGACACACAGTAGCTACCTGGACATATACACCTTCACAACACTCACTCAGGTAATGTACACAAACACAACACAACACGAGTAAACATCCCACAAAAACGTTATCTTGTACACACAGACAGACAGACAGAAAGATACAGGTAGCTCGATGGAATGTTCTATGCCAGAAGAGACCGAGGGTCGTAACACCTACACAAGTACACTCAACAACAAGCCCAGACTCAGCATGGTGGAGATCGCTGGAGCGTGGGAGAAGAGTTAAAACACGGAGCTGGATTAATGTATTTTTTTTATTGTTTTTTTTCCTTCTAGTGTGTGTGTGTGTGTGTGTGTGTGTGTGTGTGTGTGTGTGTCAGCAGGGAGGATGGGGAAAAGGCCGGGGAAGAAAGCACGTCAACATGCAGGAAGGAGGAAAGTACTGTATGAGGGAAGGAGGAAAGGAAGATGCACTGCCGATAATTAAAACGTTTAAAATCCAGTCAGGAAATTGAGAGGCGGGGTTATAGGACAATCCCACCTTCCTCACATAACACTCCTACAGTCCTAACCAGTCCACTCCAGTTTAGTCCAGTCTCTCTCTCTCTCTCTCTCTCTCTCTCTCTCTCTCTCTCTCTCTCTCTCTCTCTCTCTCTCTCTCTCTCTCTCTCCACCGCCACATTCGGATGGTCTTCTCTCAGAGGTTCCCGAGTGAAGATTAAGCTGCCTTGGTGCACAACATCCAGGAGGCAGGAACCACTTCAAACTCTAGGGGAAGGACGACCTATTGTACATCAGGGAGGTCGATTGTGCTGATAGTACGAACCTAAAGGAGACGCCAAGCTCACCTCTTACTCCCCCCCCCTCCCCCCACGCACACATCGTCCTAATACACACTACCCTCTGAACCACCTTATACTCTACCGTCCATATCAACCGTCTGTGACTAATGTAAGTGGGGAGCAAATATTGACGGAGCACTTAACTGTCCGTCCACCGCCAGGCCTCACAAGCCGCCTCGCCTCTATACTGGAACTTGAGTCAACCAACAGTAAGGCAAATCCTTGATAATCCCGAGTGAAGGGTTCCCGCAGCCGCTGTTTACCTGCACAGGTGAGTGGCGGTGTGAGGCCAGCCGGGAGATGGTGGTGGTGGTGGGGAGATAGTAGTGGTGTGCTACATTAACACAAGTGGCATATACCACCTCTTGGCCTCCTCCTCCTCCTCACCTTCACCACTTGAGGTTCCTGCAGTTAAGTCAGTAAACCTTCCCAGCCTTCACCTTCCTCTCAACGCATGGTAGAGTGCAGGAGGAGATTTAACGGGACAACCAACACAAGACGAGCCCCACACACACCCCACACTCTCCCACCTGTACAATCTAGGTGTCTGTTGGATTCTTACACCTGCGTTACCATTATCTTGACAAAACACAAAAAAGTTAAATGTAAAACTGATGACTTAGGCCAAAGACGTCAATCACAGAACAAGAATCATAACAGAGGTAGAGAGACTTAGAAAACACTTACAATGTGTCGACTTCAGTTGGTCAGGACACGAAGCTGTATCCCAAGATTCATTTACATTCGAGATATATTTATTGTGTGAAGTTGTTAAGTCGTGACGATATATCTCTCTCTCCTCCCCCTTTCTCGGGTAATTATCTCTTTTCCTTCTATGTCTCCTTCTACCCTCTTTTATCACTCTCTAACTCTTCCTATTGCTATCTTCTCTCCTCCCCCTTCATCTCTCTCTCTCTCGTCCACCTCCCCCACCCACCCATCTCTCTTTCTCATAGTGACGTCATGTCGTATATCCTCAGCGAGTAATTTGTCGGTGAGAGGCCACAGGAGGACCCGGGCCACAGAAGGACGACCCGGGCCACAGAAGGATGACCTGGGCCACAGAAGGACGACCCGGGCCACAGAAGGGGGACCAGGCCACAAGAGGACGACCAGGCCACAAGAGGACGACCAGGCCACAAGAGGACGACCAGGCCACAAAAGGACCCGGGCCACAGAAGGACCCGGGCCACACATGTACCTGGTGAAGAAGGCGGTGTGGTGGCCCGAGGAACAAAGACAGAGAGAGACAAGGGAAGTTTTATTCCCGACTCTAATTTATTTCCTTCATTCTTTTCCGCCTTTCCCAGCGCCATTATGTGTTTTCTTCCTTTCCATCTTAATTTCGCTTCTCCCTCTTCCTTTCCTCTTTTCTTCCTTTTTTCTTTATTTGTTTTTTCTTCTTTCGATTTTTTCCTCCTTTTCATTTTTCATTCTTTCCTTCCTTTTGTTTTCTTCCTTTCTAATTAATTTTCGTCT